ATTTGTGATTCTACTAAATGTTCAATGATTTCGGACGAAATTTACCCATCCTGTTTTAGATTTCCCATGTCGAATTATTACATGTCCGTCTAAGCTTAAAAAAGTTAATTTATGTGTAAATAAAATTAAGATAAATAACTTTTGAAGGACTTAAAAGCCCTTTTACTTGGAACCTCTAAAAACCTGACAAATAAAAGTAAGTTCCCTAAGAAGGGTAAGCTAAGAAGAGGCCGAAATCAAATGAAATAAAAAAGCAAGGTTAATCGAGATTCTAATCCTAACTCGTAGGAAGAGGTTGAAGTAATTTATTGTAAGTAACTTCTTTTTACTTACAAGTAAAAAAATAAAATATATGGAAAAGGAGGGGTGAATTAAAACTTAAAAAAATAAATATATAGTACAATATATGAAAGGGTAAATTCTTTCAAGGGTCTCCAATCTTTCATAAGTTCGACAATCAAGTTCTCAATTGTTCATTTGTGAACTCATGTGTCAAAATATTGTCAACATATTTTTTAAAAACTCACCACATTTTAACATAATAAAAGGTTCTTAAACAATACTTATTATCACACTTATGTTCCCAACATTTTGTCATCGCATTTTTATTATCAATCTTTCATTAATTTGCAAATCCTATCCTTGATAATTATTTTGATCCAAAAATTTTACTAGCATGCTTTGAAATAGATGGAAAATATTTAGTCTCACTTATTATTTTTTTTTTAAATACAAATTTCAAATTTGTCTTTTCATATCCTCTCAACAGAATTTTTGGACTTATACAGTTATAGGGACAATATGTTAATTCATGAAAGGTTGAGAATAAGAATGCGATGAAAAAAGTTGAAGACATAAGTATGACGACAAATAAATGTCATTAACAATTAATGCAAGGGAAATGCACTTTATGAAATTGTGGTGTCAATATAACCACCATTTTGAAATAAAGGGAATCTTTTCGTCACAAAGCAGATGTCAGCGTGAAACATTTAACGTCTAAATAGTTTTTAAAATTGGAAATATAAGATGAAAAGTTTGGGACATGATTGCTATAGTTATAAAAGGCCGTGGACCGTTGGAGTAATTTATCCTGTTTGAAAGCTACAATTGGTTTGATTTGGTCATTTTGTCAAACAAGCGTCTTTTGTGCAAATATAACCAAGTAGCAAAAATACAACACAAGGACGAATGGCTGGGCCCCATATTTGCTTCCTTGTCTTACATGGCAATTGTTTTCACATGGATTATCTGCCACGTGGCAGTCTGCATAGCGTTTGTGTGTCCTGTCCTTGTGGCGCAAATGACGGTTTGGCCATGTAAGGTTGTCTTCTTGGGGTCCCTATTTCCCATTTCCCTTTGGCCCCACCATGTTTCAACACTACCCTTTAGAAAAATAAATGCAAAATTGTTGATATGAACATATTTAATTGGACAAAGATGTTTATGTGAAGCTGATGGGTATCATATGACCGAAAAGAAAGGTAGAACTCCTCGAGATTTCTGACAATTTTAGAGATATATCTTCTTGAAAAATTACACAAATATAGTCAAGGATCGAAACACTTTAAAACACACAAAAGAATGCACGGTGTGAACATTCAAAAGGAGCCAAGTGATAGTGACAACATCCACAACGTTCCTTATTTTAAATTTTAAATAACGCATACTTCCTACTAGATTAATGACAATTCAGAAACTGATTTTGTGCCAATAATAATAATAACAATAACAACAAATTGGTCAGGTATTTGTTTTCTGAATCAATGAGAATGTGTAGTATATGGTAAAAAGTGAAAATAGACTATCCTATTAGTATTTTGTGAAGGTTATTCTTAATTATGATGAATTATGAAGGTTAATGTATGTATTTTTTCATATTGACCTTCCCGAAAAAAAATTAATACAGAAGAGTTCGAAGTACTTGTCTTAGAAGATCTTTATCAAACTATAAATTTGAGAACTCTATTTCTAATACAAGCATTAATTTTGATGTTTCATACATACATTTGAATATGACAAAATTTAGATATACCATGGAAGCAGATAAATAAGCATACCTTCATTCATTAAGATTATCTTCACCTCTCTCTCTCTATATTGAGTCGAGTTCATGTTTAAAACAACACTTATATAGTTTTTATTCATATTTAAGCGATTTGAAGATTTTTTATTCTAAATTATACCAACCTTGATCAAAGTTCTCTTTTAGCCTGTGGTGTTCTGATGATCATGTCGAGTCTTAAAAGTTTTATACTTGAAAGCTAATCTTGTAAAAATGAGTAATTTCAATCCTTAAGAATCATTTATTGTTTATCTTATTTAATTGAAGTAGGATATTTACCTGACAATATAAAAACATGAGTAAAATATTGATAAATTAGTGTCAGCTTGTGCACTGGTAGGCATACTCTAACAAAAGATGGGGGATAGAAGCAAGAATAAATTATTAACCAAGAAAATCTAAAGGGAAAAGAAGAATTATTTTTCTATATTTTGGAAAAATCTCAAACCGAAAAAAGAAAGAGAGAAAGAAAAACACAGAATTAGATTAACAGAGGATCTGACTGAGTTTTTTAGTTGTTGTGCAAACGGAGGTTATATCTACTGGCAAGAAATGAGAAGCGACATCATTTTCACTTGTACAAGGTTTGTATAGAGAAAATATTTCACATGATTATTTTCAAGTGTTTGGGCGAACGAGATTTGTGTTCAAATATTTTATGTGAACTAACATTTATTATTTCTGCAGTTGCAATCCTTGTCAAAGAAGGTTAACGAGATGATAAAAGGCTAATTCGAACAGCAGGAGACGCTTGTTCTTAAATCTTTTACATGTGCTACAACTAGGAAATAGATTAATGGTGGTGAATACATGATTGTTATTATCTTCAGATAATATGTGATTATGGATATTATCAGTGGTAAAAACTATGGTGAATATGAAAGTCTAAAGAAGATAATAGGTTGCTGTTTAAACTATAATACTCGTCCGCCAATCAAATAATAAAGAAGTCTCTTTAAAATTCAAAGTGGATGTCGTTACCTTAACCGCAAGGAGGGGGATGTCGAAGGTAGGGCTAGTGACTAGAGTGAAGTCGTAACAAGGTAGCTGTCAAACAAGAATTCTTGAACAGCGAACAACCAGTTTAGATATTCACGACCCAGAAGTATTGGATTATCTTTCAAATAGACCCTGAAAGGAGAAGAATACCAGTTACAGTACCTATTATACAAAGAGGAATCCTTCCAATAGTATCGGCCGAAAAGGTTCTTGGTGGAAAAAAATGTGAATGAAAGATCCTATTAAATTGAATTGGGTCTATGAATCTAAGAAATAGTGAGAATTCTTGATCTCTCTTAATTCGAAAATTCAGGATTTGAATTGATGTCCTTTCATTGATTCTTCCTAAATTGCATTGATTTATCCTAAATAGTAGCGGTACTTATATATCGTATTAGCAATCGAAATATGGTCGAAAGAAAAATTGATAGTTTCTTTTTTAGTTCCGAAAATGAAACTAAATTCAAATAGAAAAATAAAAAGAATGTGAATTCCTTCTCTTAGAACACATACAAGATTCGTCACTACAAGAAGGATAATGGTAACCCCACCATTAACTACATTTATGAATTTCATATTAATAGAAATACATGTCCTTCCGTCTAATCTCATTCGCTCCCCTGGCTTTCGTCTCTCAGTGTCAATGTCGTCACTACAAGAAGGATCAAGTTGGCCATTGCGAACATCTTCTTATCTAATGTCTGCTTTTCGCGAAAAAATACCAATGAAAGTGGAGGGTTTCTTCAAACAACAAGGGGTTGGGACTTTTCTTTGCCATAATGGTTCAGGTCCTATTAGTATGGGGCAATTATTTAGAAGTACATTTTGTGCTACAGCCCTCTTTGAGATAGAAATGGAAAGGATCCAATTTGAGCAAGTTTCTAATTCAAAAGCAAAACTTGTTGGAATTGATAAGATATTTTATTCTTCTAAGTGTGAAAAATATAGTAAAAAGAAATATAAATTAAATGGATAAAGAAATAGTAAGTTCAGATCTAGAATGGATCATACATGAACGGTTCCCAGGGGTCCCTCATCTGAGATCCCTAGGGAAGCTACAAGAGTACCCTCAAAAAATAAGGAACCTTTCCTCTCCCAATGCTTTTTGCCCTGTTAGTCTTCATTCAATGGTTCCTTTTAGACTAAAGGAGATAATGACTTATTCCAAAGGTTTTCCAATCTCCGTTTCTACAGTAGAGATTTAGCTACATTCCGAGAAACGGTGACGGTGTGAAATCAAAGATTAATGACAAGGACAAGAAGTAATAACAAGCGATGCGCAATGGTAAAATCAAGCACAGAAACATGGAGTGGAGGAATTGTGCTCCATCACATGGGCACCATAGTTTTCTCCTCATTTTTTTTCTTCTCCCTAAGCAAATAGTTAAACCTCTCTTTGTCACACACACATTCTGTAATGGCCACATACTTTCGCTTACAAGCCCTTTCACTCGTGCCCTACTCCACACATCATTACCATTATGTAGTGTTCACTGGGGATTTGGCCCAACATGGTTTTTTTTTTGTGTCCCTAATGTGTCGAACCTGAGACCTCCTTAAGCCTCCAAAGTGGATGTATAGTAAGCCCCTGTTTGATGCGAATTAAAATTAGATTTTTAGTAGATATTGATAAATATTTTTGAAATATGTAGTTTAAAAGTTGTGGGACCCATGAAATATGGTTAATATTGATTGTTTGACGTTGACTTAATTAAAATTCGATTTAAATCAATATCAAATAGGGGCTAAGTATGAGCAATGATATGCAGAATAGTCTCGAGCGAAGGGGTTTGTAGAGAAAAATATAGTGAGAGAGAGAGCGCGCGCTCTATATTAATGGTTTTGTTTGATGGGGTACAATCTTGATTAAAAAGTGGAAAAAGGGACATGGGAGGCCTCCAATATCTTCAGTTTTGTTTTCAAGGGTTCAGCACCAGGCACCTGCATGTTCTCTCTAAACCAAATTCATCTATTACAATACCAGCATTTAATGCCTCATTCCCCCCTTCTCACTACATATATGCATCTCTCAAACTCTCAATCCCACCTTACTCTTATTCTCTGAATCACAAGTAATTGATCTCTCAACTACTATGTCTTCTCTTGTTTATTTTCTTCTGTGTATATATTATTTGCATGCATGCACTGGTCGACCACTTGCAGTTTCTGATCAAGAAAATAGCAGTCAAATTCAGTTTTCTGGAAAGGTTAGTTTTATATGCATATATGTACATAAGGTTGTTGGAGATAAGAATTGGTAAGTGCATCAAGATATCCCAACTAGGTCGTCACCTTCATCATATATCTACTCACGATCCCAGTACTTTATTAATAATATTGAAAGTAAAACATTAACGAAACCTATAATGAGACAAGCTATATATCGGAAGAAGCTACCTACCACCAAGTAGGAGATGAATGCTACGAGTCTATGCCCTTGTTTCACCCCCATTTCTTAGAATTCATTTTTTTAAAACTCATTTTAAACTACACATTTTATGACATCCACAACTTTTATCATCTTTTAAATTATCTATCAGCAATTATCAAAATCTACTAAAAATCAAATTTTTATCCAAACCAAATAAGGGTTATACATCGTATATCATTCTGCAGGATATGAAGACTCCAGGCGCAGATAAACTTGTGGTGCAAGGAAATTTCAGGGTTGAATATGGTGAAAAGACAATTTATAGTGAAAATACTATGAAGCTAAAGAATCAGAAGATCTACATGGTTAAGGAAACTGAAGACCTCAAAGGTTGCTAACAAGATAATTTTTCCTTTATTTATTCATATATTTTGTCCTTTTATCTGGTGCCAGAAGAATATTTGTATAAATATACAAGGTAATTGGTTAAGAATGGGTTTGATCTCTATATTCGTCTGCAAGGAAAGTAAAATCTAAGTAAATAAACACGTGTCCTATTTAACAAATTTAAGAAAATTATGTATGGATAAAAATTTATTATTATCCTTGCACTCCGGGCTAGCTAGTGGATGATTTGCTATCGTGGCTTTTTTTTTTTTAATTATTATTTTTTTTAATAATTCAATTTTTCCTAAGTTTGCAATTTTCTATTACTCAAAAATCGGGTAACTTTACAGGAGACGAAGTTAAGATGACACATTTTGGGAAGGTTTTTGAGGACGCTGCTACAGAAAAGGTGCATCCTCTAAACTATGGGTGATGCTACCCTACATCAGGGTACCTATCCCAGTGTCCATCCCCTTACAAAAAGAAAGACACATTTTGAATAAAATATCATTTATTCAAAGTGTGTTCCCCTTTATTAAGGGATATAATCACACATTGAATGAAGATAAAAATATAGATCAACTTTAAGATCTTGAGTTACTCTTTTTAATATGGTATCAGAATCCATTAAGTTCTAACGAGCAATTCCTCAAATGAGCCACCTTTTTTTGGGGCATGTTAAGAGATATGATTTCATATCGAATAAAGATGAAAATATATATCAACTTATAAAGTTTTATGCTACTTTTCTTAACAATATTGACCTTTTAAATTGAAACTCCAAATCTTAACACCGTCCATGAGAGGAAGATAGACACCACATTATCTACAACTAGCATATTCTTTAGACTCTTTGGCCAACACATGCTTTGTAGCATGTACTAGCATGCGTGCATGGTGCAATTAAACAAATATATATACAAGCTTAGGAGGACCATAAGACCTTGCCTCCAATCACCCAAAATATTGAACTTAAAACTAAACTGGTAAAGAAAATTCAGAATAAGAGTGATTGGAACTAGTTTTAGATCTCATATGAGATTGCATTATGCTCCTCGTCATCATGTGAGGTAATTTGTGGGTTCATCAGAAGTTAAAAATTTTGTATTTGCAGGAAGGGAAGAGAGAAGGGCGATTGACATTGGAATCTCCCTCGCAGAAAGCCAGGAAAAATACGATATTCAAGAAAAGTAACACTATAGAGGACATAGTGGTGATGGACTACGCACAACCACGTCGTAAACCACCTATTCATAACAAAGAACCCTAAATTCAAGTTCAACCTTAATTTCTCGAATGTTTTTCGATTTTGTTTCGCACTTCTGATCTTTTACTTTTCTTGATAAGGGGTAATAAAAAAGTATCTCAGCTGAGGTACCTAAAGACATTATTTGATACTCGAATTAATAGTTGATTAAGATTTTAACTTTTTATTAAGTTTTGTACGAATCCACCCCCCCCCCCAACCCCCCTCCACCCAAAAATAGTGCTGAAAATATTACAGAAATTAAATATCTATTACAAGTTGCAGCCGTTATAAATGTGATGAATTGGTGGATGGTCGACGGTCCCCAATAATATGTCTGGTGTGCTTTTCTGTAATAAATGTGTCGTCAATAAAGAAATATACAAACGTTATGTTGGGCCATCGACATAAATGATGTTATTCATTTCTTCGTAATGCAGACACTTTGTGTTTTCAGTTTCTGCGCTTTCAGTTAATGGTCCCAACTACACCGAGCATCAATTAAAAACAAAATTCGTAACAAAGGCATCTTCTTTTCTAAGAAAATAAATAAATAAAGATTATCATGAATTGACCATTTGACTCGATGAAGTATATAAATAACATAAAAAATCATGTAAATTGAACATGAGAATCCCATATAATTAGAATTTGTTTGATATATGTATTACTGAGTGGATTGTCAACAGTCAGGTAAAAACCAGATGCCATCTCTTTATAATTTCACCAAGAATCAAGGCAATCAACTAACGCTACAGTTAACAATGAATGGGTTTACAAAATCGATAAATTCTGAAGTCTTGATCCCCAGTTTAAGATCGAGCTCCCCACCTCCCAACCAGAAGAAATCAGGGATCAGCTTCACTATTGCTTCGTCCAAAATAACCTGCCAAAGCCGTGTCTTATTAAGTTAATGTGATAACAATGTACAGTAAGAGATATTACCTACCATGCTTAGAAATACACGCGTTACATATTTATCTATTGCCAAGGTTTAGTTCGTTCTTAGAAACATATGCGTAAATTTTGAAGAATTACACCAAGATATTATAATTGCAATTTTTTGCATTTTTGCAATTACACACATTTAATCTCTATATAGTCTTCCATGATGATTAAGTTTTAACATGATTGAGCAACAAACGTGTTCAATCATCAATCAATTGACAATGCTAATATATTAGGATCAGTTTAACAGCCATTGGTTGGACAATCAATTAGCAAATAGCAATTATGAAGTTTGATGGGTCACTTCCTGTATGTTTTTTATATTCAAATTCCCATTTTTTTGTTAAAACTTGTTTGCTATTCCATTACTTCAAAGCAAAACGAGACAGGGAAATAATGTAATTATCCTTCCGAGCGACTAGCCATTTTCTGTGAGAAGAAAGAGATTGGCAGTACATATGATCAACTCAGTGGACTTCAATAGTGGAGATAGAAATTCCAAGCTGCAGTTATATAGAGTAAATTATACTTCGACAGTTCGGATATTTTGGGATGGTGGCAAAAAATCCGGCTGGCAGAATTAAATTGGTAAGAGTTATCTGAAATAACCGCACACACCAAATGTTCAAATTTCACGTCTAAAATTAGGAATGGGGGGCCTCTGTGCATGCCCTGGTACAACCAGCTGTTGACTGAGAGGAGAAAAATAGTAGTCTAGCTCAAGTTATCAAATCTCAGGCCATATTTGCTCAGGCAAAACAGAGCGGCTGAAGGGAACAACATCGTACTGCCTGAATAACACTGATTATATGCAAGCACATTGTGTAGCAGAAGCAGCATCTCCATCAGATGGAGAGCTTTCTGCTACTATTATAGTTTTTAAAGTTTGTGCAATTGGCTTGTTGGTTGGCTAAATTACGCTACAAGGGTTTGTAGCTAAAAGTTGTCTTAATAGTCTCTTCCTCAACCCTTCATTACAATCCACTCTCTCCCGGTAGGTCAAGCTATTTAACACTCTCCCTTTGATCAAGCTTCATTAAGTGCAGCCTGACTTTCAAAAGCTTTAAATCAATTAGCAAGTTTTAACCAACAAAAGTCAGTAGAGGCTTCTTTAAGCTCTAAATTAGTAATTCTGCACTTCTAATCTAAAAGATTTGCTGGTCCTCGATTTAGTTACTAGCAGCAGTCAGCAAGTAAACATTACAGAACAAAAAGTTAGAATTGAGACCACAGCATCACGGTAACCTCAAAATCTGTAGAAAGCAAACGGAAACTATTCCCCGTGGTAGTGAAAAAAAGAAATAATAAAGCTCAGTCCCCTTCCAAAAAATAGAAGATATATTACCGGAATATCTGTTTTCATGCCAATACATGTCACTCCATTGTGCTCATAACCAGTCAACTTTACTGATGTTTCCTCTGGAGCAAGCCTCACTGCAAAAATTTTGGACATCATTAATTAGGAAGTAGGAACTAAGGAGCATATGATGGGAATAGGAGAAATCTGTAGTTAGTGCTCATATGCGATAAAATTATCAGTAATAGAAATTTGACTCCATGAGAATTTAAACATCAACTGGCAAATGATATAGTGGGAGCATGTCATAGATCTCAAGTAGGTCATGCAAATGTATCCTTTTAGAAATATGAAATATGATAATAATATCTCAAGTCGACTCTCAGTACTTATTTGTTGCATTGGATGCGAGCTCTCATCTAAGAAAACATGTTGCATGTCGAAAATGTCTTGCAATTTCTTAGCTCATCACTAGTTGAGATGTAAGTAGTTCAACTTTTATTGGATATAATTGATGCAGGAAAGTTCACACGAAGAAAAGAATCCAGAGACAGAATGTGAATTTTACTGGCCTTCTGACTTCTTTTTTCGATATGACATGAATTCCAAGAGGAGATGGCTAAAAATTTTGATCCAATTATTTTAAATATTGATTATACATGAAGACATTTACGGGACAATAAATAAAGAGAGTAAAGCAGAAATCCATGACCAAAAATTTCCAGTGTTCTACTATAGTAATATGCTCCAAGTAGACTGCAAATAGAGATTTTTATAGCAGGATAGTGAAATAAAGAGGAGAAAGATGGAATCTTGAGGAAAATACCAGTGTATTTTACAAACAGAAAGGAGAGTAGGCCTCAGCGGAATGGAAAGGTTGCTCCAAGTGAAGTGATTGTAAGAGCCTCTCTTTTGCAGGCATAAGGCTTCATAAATTTATGTCTGCCCATACCTCATAATGATATCTGATAGGAGCCTCGAGCAGTGGGTTTGCACTCAATAAATAGAATGACGCCACTTTCATTTTCTTTCGAAAAATGTACAAGAGCTTGTTTGGTGGTACAGATGAATAAAAAATGAATTTTTATTTTTTATTTTTTCCCAGATAATGTGTGGTTAAAAAGTAGAGGAAAAGTTGTGGGTTCCATTTAATGTGAGGTAGAAAATGATTTTGAGGAAAAATGATTTTATAAAAGTATGTGCCAAACAAGCTCTAAATAACAAAGAAATAGAGAACCAAGGTAATCCAATTGTATCAAAATACAATTTTAGTTTCACACTCTTTTCAAAAGTGCAATATTTTTGGCTATATTTTCTAGTGAATAATATTTTGGTAATATCAAAATATCGTGAAGGTCACAAGTAGGCATATTAAGTGTGTGTTTGAGTCATATTATTTTTTAAGAATGTATTTTGGAATAGTAAATTGATGGAGAATATATAGTTAAAAAATAAGGAAAAATTTTGAATTTGCGTATAATATTATTTTATTGAAGAATGTTGATGCAACAAAGAAACAATTAAAAGTCTATTCAAGATGAAAGGCTAGTAATTAGTAGAATTCGAGTTTATCTAGATTATAGTAGTTTTATTTTGACAATGTTATCTTTTATTTTCAAGTTTGTTTAGATAGGAAGTTTATTTAATTTCAAAGTCCTTCCTATATAAAGGGACTTAGGGCAATGTTTACAGACACACCTGAATTATACGAATACAAGTATTTCTCTTGTCCTCAATTCTTCCCTTTAATCTCCCTTATTTCTTATTGTTCTTTATCAATTTGTATGCTTCTGCGTCAAATGTGTAGTTGAAATAATGTCAAATCACTGTTTAAGAATGTATTTTTTTTCAAATAATGCGGCTCAATATTTGTTAGTGTTTTAAGTGTTTATAAGTTGTTGATCCTACAAGATGAAAAGATAATAAGAAGGTAATAAGTTGTGAATCTTAATAAATGTGTGTTAACCAGCTTAAATTATTATTTAAGCTTTGCCAAGCATGCTCTTTAAAATCAACCATAATCAACAACAAAAAAGGCATGATTTTTTCCTTTTCTCCTATTGTGAAATTGATTAATCAAAGCGTCCAAATATCTTTTGATTCTGGAGGCATTGCATATGACAAACAAAAAGGCTGCAATAAATGATCGTAAAGATCATCCTAATTTAATAAATACAAAAGCTCAAAAGGATTTATTTGATGAATTGATCTCCTAGTCCCAAACTCAAGGACAAAAAAATCCATGGTCCCAATTTTCAAAACACTGCTCCACGATAACACTAGCAACAATAGAATAATGAAACAATCAATTTGTGTCAAGAAGTTAGACCACCAGATAAAATTTTGAAAATATTTATTTTTTTCCCTAGCTGACTCTAGTAAAGCGAGCTGGACTGCAATTAGATTAGATTATTAAAGTTCAGATCCATAGCGCTAAAACTATCATGATCAAGGATGATTGTAAAGTATATAAAGCATGATTATTATGTGAAAACTCTGCAAATTTTTTAGGTCAGTTGAAGTCTTTACTAACGTGCAAGTAACATAAAAGCTAAAAGAGTTTCAATGTTCATTTAGGATTATGCCTTTCGTCAGTCAAACATATAAAAGGTAGGGTAGAACTTGAAACCAGGTTCATCTATTGAGCAAAGCGTGATTTAAAAGTAGAGGATCAAATCTATGCCTTACTATACGTAAAAAAGAGAATTCGTTAGATTATATCAAGTACGACAATACCTGGGTAAACTCGAAAGCTTTGTATAAAATCTATTTCAAGCTGTATTATAGGATTTCTCCAAGATTTTATATCATTTTAAAGTCTTTCTACCTTCAACCCAATCCAACACACACACACACACACACACACACACACAAAACTACAAAAGAGATGCTACTGTTTTGGAAATGTAAACAGCTAAAGTCAGAAGGTACAAACTTACTGTTGAATTTCTTCTTCGATATCTTTCCATCATTGAGAGCATACAAAAAGTTCTTGACAGCCTCAGCATTAAATCGAGCAGTATACTGCAATCAAAAAGGTTTTCAATTGTGTGTATGTGTACATATATTTATGTTTCTGGTGCTTTGATGCCAAAGTTTACTAAGGATCAAATGCAACGATACAAATTAAATAAATATTTAAGGTACCTGTACGACAACCACGTAGTATTTAGAATTGTTATGATCACTACAATCAGTTATATTCGCTGGGGCTTGAGTATTTACCTATGTAAAACAAATGACTTCCAATCAAGAAAAAGAATCTCAGATTGAAGATCAAATATGTTATGTAATAAAGGAATAATAAATTGGATGCAAGCAGTGGTATAAAATATTCCTTTTTGTGTTCAGAATGTTTATAATTTTATCTCTCATCACCCCAAAATCATTATGGGCCAAAATGAGCCAAGGGAAAGACCTAAAAAAACCGCACAAGATAAATTCAGCATCTGAGCTAAGATGAACAACTCAAATCACATCAACATAATAGTTTTATCACTTAGTGGGGTAAAGTTGATAGGATCAGAAACAAGGGAAGAAGAATATAGGAGAATAAGGTGACACAACAAACATCATATATAGTTACATTAAGTGAGTTTATCCACATACGTAGAGGTACTTTAAGATAAACAAAGAATCTACAGTTTATAAATAAAAATCTAACTGGCACATGATGTTTCCTATCCAAATTAAATTGTCAAAAACTCATAATTCATAATAGGATAGTGGGAAAAGTAGAATTCTAATGAAAGAAGATTGATCTCTATGAACAACTCAGAGGCAATTGAAATTAGGTGTAAAACTTGTATACAATGTTCATGTTAGACCAGATATTGTGATGCCAATAAGTTTCTCAAGGTAGGGGGCACTTACTCTACATAGCCCTGGTTTCATATCAAAGTCCCATGTCCTTATCCAAGACTTCGAAGAAGGCTGATCCCCATCATACACCATATGGACTTCAATACAGAATTCATTCCTAAAAGAGTCTTGTATAGTTTGTATGCTTCGATTTATGTATACATGAATTAAACTTTTTAACCTCGGAAGTTATTGCTTATTATTCAATTTTAATTTAAGTTTGTCATGTATATAATCATTAATATCCTACAGTTTTGAGGATTCAATGATGGCAAGTACATTAGAGAGAACTTTACATAGATTTGATCACAATTTGGCATTCCAAACGTACATCACCAAATTCCTCCATTTCAAATCCCTTCATTGATATTAAGGTCAGTTTCCTCTTAATTGTTTTCTAAATCACATGTCGTTTAAGGAGTATATTATTCTTTTTCTTATGATTCATAATAAAAAGAGTTTAAGAAGTAATGTCATCTTTTATTAATCCTTGTTATTACGAAAGTCCTTTGATAAACTCCTTTAAAAATTGAATAATTTTCATCAAGATTCTAATAATAAAAAGTAAGTCGAGTATAAAATTGATAATAAATACAACACGTTTTAGTTATATTTTTGACTGGTAGAAATGTATTTATCAATATGCTAGATTGTATTGAACTCTAAACTAAATAGCCAATTCCAAGTAATTCTAATTTGCATTGACTCTTGATGAAGACGTCATTGCCTGACAAGTTATGACTAAATATTCGCATCATAATATTTTTTTCTTAGTATGATTCATGACACATGCGATTTATGGTCATATGCTTTAGATACTCTCATGACTAGCGTGTTGTTTGCACGTACGATGGCCAAACTCGAGATGAAATTGTTCAGGTCTATCAGAATTATAGATGGCAAGATGGTGATACCTTTGAACAACATTTGGACCTCTTTGAGGCATTGCGCAAGAGAGGCTAGGTTACAAGAGTAACTCAAAGGAGGCTATTAACTGTTTATGGAAGACCATACACTTGTGAAAGGTAGGATTGGTTGGAAGGCATCGTAAAAATGATTCATGGAAAGATGCCATTCGAACTAGTGGTCCATTACCCGAGGAAAAGAGACAATTTCTATGTGGCATATCGAGGACCGGAGGGGCCGACCTGCCCAAGCTCATTGCATTCCACTGCAAGTGGTAAAAAAATTGCACCCATAGAAGTTGAGACAAACTCATAAGAAGATCCCTAGAAGGAAAATCGAGGAAGACCTTGTTGTGAGTGTAGGCCAGAATTTCTAGCAGAAGATAGCAGTCCTTTAGGCCTTGCCTTGTTATTTGAATCATGGATATCGCTGTGATTAACAAATTGTATCCCAACTATTATTGATCATCTATTTCTTAATTTAATAAAATTCCATTCTATGTTTGAGTTTACGGATGTTCAATGAGCGTTAATCAAATTCTTATTCTTTTTTATCAAGCAAATTGATGGCAGCAAGAGCTAGGAATGCTAGGACCCGCAACAATGACAACAGCGGCTACCAATTTGCCCAATAATTCCTTGCTATGATGGAAGAAATTGGCCAAGCACAACATCGCCCAATGGAGAGAGGGGAATCAATTCTGCAACAGTGGTAGAGCAATTTCCTAAGTTGCAACCCTGACCTACCAAGGTGGGACAACCCCAAAACTAGCAGGAGAGTGGATCAGAGATGTAGAGGATCTTTGAACTTATTGCCTGCCCTAAACCACAACAAATGAGTTGTGCAACATTCATGCTAAAAAAATGTATCAGGCATTGGTGGGAAATGACTACAAGATCCAAAGCATCTGGTTCAAGGCTTAACATGGCACAGTTCAAGGAATTAATCCTTCAAACTTCCCTACCAACAGACGTAACATAAGGAGGCAAAGCTCGTAAACTGAAGCAGGGCTCCATAACATTAGCAGAATAGGAAAGGAAATTTGACGAATTACTTGCTTTGCCTACTCCTAGTCCCTAGACAACACTGAGGACATAAGGCTTGAACAGGCCTGCATGACAATGTTAGACACGTAGTTGTGACCTCTGGTCAGGAACCTACCACAAAGTACTAGTAAATGCCCCCAACTAGCAAACTTCCGTGAAAACACAATTAGCACTGACTAGTTGCATGCTAGACAGCCTGATAAATGCAGATGGGAGATTAACAAGCTTAATAGCAAGCAGAATTTTGACAAGAGCCACTTCCAATGAAAGTTAGGAAAAATACTTTAATTCTACCAATGAAGGCTGATAATTGTATAGGGTATATTAAACATGGATGACAAATCAGATAAGGATGCTAACGTGGAGGGCATGTCATAAGACCCCACATGTCTAATTAAATCGAATCCCCAAACTCAATCAGGGACTCAGACATCTAACTGAACTCTTGCTTATAGACCAGACTCAACATAATATTGTGATGAAGTCAACCATTTGCCTCTTCAATACATGGACGAACAGCCCCCATGGTAACCCCTCTACAAAAAGGAAGTAGTGGTTACATGAGAACGTCCCACCATCAGCTATATGATCCCCTATGATATGTTGCCAACTTACAAGCGTGCATGTCAGCACTGCTAGAAAATATTATGTCAATTACATCAACATTAAACTTCCACCACATAAATTTTCTTCTAACTGCATCCCCCAAGTACAAGAGGTTAGGCACCACCCTAGTGACTAACCATAATCAGGCGAACAGTCCATGATATCAAGATTAGATTCTGACATCTTCAAGGACTTCAACCATTCAAGACTGCACTATCCAGACAAGATACATTTAACTAAGACCTCTCCTATTGAAGTCCTCAAAGATTTGCAAATATTCTCCCTTGAATTCCCCACAACCAAAATCACTCAAGTTCAAAAAATAGAAGGGGTAAAAAGAGCATCCAATCCTACTTCACAGAGCAAACTTGCGTACAGGTAGACATTTTTAAAATAAATAATTAATTTGTGATTTCATTAATCTCAGGGCTAATTCATTTCCCTGTAATTTCACTGAATTATACGTTAAAAGAAAAGAATTGGGAGAGGAAGGAGAAAGAATGTACCAGGACAATGCTCTTACAGAGATGATGAATGGAGGCGGCATCGAGGACGTCACGGCGGGCCTCGAGAGTCCAGGTGTAGTAATCGGAAGGGACACGCTTAAATGAGAAGTCCTTGACACCGTTGGAGCGGAGAATGGAGGAGAGGCGGCCTTCGGTGGTGGAGTTATCGGCGGCCGCGGCAGAGATGGAAACTGATTGGGAGACGTGTTGAGGTAAATACAAGAGTTCGAGGTCCGAAATGCGTTGGAGGATTCGAGTTTGGGTTCTCTCTAGATCCGCCAGAGCCTCCTTCATTGCTGTCTACTGCTCCGAATTTCGAATCTCTCTCCGTCTCGGATTTTTTGATAATTCTTTTTTCAATGTACGTTGAATGTTGTTTCCAACAATCCGCCCGTTTTGAGAGTTAATTGTCAATATTCACTAAACATTTTATTTTAGGGGTGCTTGGAAGATATTTTTATGTAAAAATATATTTTTGAATAGTAAATTGATGAAAAATATGTGGTTAAAAAATAAAGAATTTTTTTTGATTTACATGTAATATTATTTTAATAAAGAATGTGTGGTTGAAAAGAAAAGAGAAAAAATGCATTTTGAAAAAAATGGGTACCAAATGGGGCCTTATTATTTTTTTTAAATCTCATATTGGTTTCATTAAAATAAAATCTCACTTGTGGCGAAGGAAAATCGTGGTAAAAAAAATCTTTAGTACTCTCAATGAAAGATTTAAAAACATATGAAAGGAAAAGAAGCCAAGTCTAGGCGATATATACCTCGAGCTTCCCAAGGTAAATCTTTCACTTCCATAATCTTCAGCTCTACATCGCTAGTCTTGCTAGACGATCTGCTATCGAATTTGCTTCCCGATAGATATGTTCAATAGAAAAGGAAATCTGTTGTAGCAAAAGCTTAAGTTCATCCCAAAAATCCCAAAGAGAGCATCGCCCCTGATTGATCAATTGCACCACCTGAGAGAATCGGATTCCAATTGTACTTGTGTATACCTGAGCTCCATGCAAAATCGCACCCCATCAAGGAGAGCATGCAACTCTGCAGACATATTAGTTCCTTCACCATAATGATTTGAGAAACCCAACTGAAAAATACCAAGTTCGTCTCTAATAATACCTCCTCCTCCAGCTAGTCCAGGATTTTCTTATGAAGCCCCATCCACATTAAGTTTCACCCATCCTTGCCTCGACTTTCTCCAGACCGTCGATTTTGGTGTTTTTATTTGAGCAGGGCATTGGTAGGGGATGGATATTGCACATAATTTGTTTATCACTAATTTTCAGCTTCTTGTCCTTGGCCATACGACAAGCAAACTCATGTGCCCAATTCAATAGAGTCCTTGGCCATACGACAAGTCTTGCATGACATCGCCTTTTCCACATAATCTAGATTAAGACGAGGAAGAATTCCCATTAAGGTATCGGATTGGGATGTCTTTTTAGCCCATATATACCAGTTTTCCAATCTGATTCTCCATGGTAGACCCACCTGATGTTGTAAGCCCATACATGAATCAAATTTCCTCCATAAGCTATCAGCAAAATCCCCCGTACTGAGGATGTGTTATTCCGATAATTGAGAAACTAATTCATAGCAGTTGCATTTTGATGCTAAGTTAATACCAACCTCTTTAATACGTAAATCCACACTCAACGCCTTGTGCAGCCCTTTCCATATCATAAAGGATACTTTCTTTAGAATAAGTGGAGGCCATACCCAATCAAAGAAGTTCTGCATATTCCCCTTATCACCACATCCCATGCACTTTTGGATGAAAAACTGCATTTTGGGTCTGGGCTGTAGGATAATTTATTACTTTAAATCACTGCATCTTTCATGTTAAATCATAAAGGAATACATACATATGGCGGAAGCGTACCTGAATCAGACGTGGTTAATGCAATAATGAATTTGACGGTTTTGTCTTACAAATCTACACGCAGTCTCCTTTTTTTCTTTGTGATAGGATGCAATAGAGAATGAATAATACATACGTGTGATTTGGGGACCATAACCGTATTTATATAGCGACGCCCTCTGACCTAATTCGGCCCATCATAGAATTAGAACTTGGACCCGGTCTCTACACATATATAAACTCACACTTTAATTGGATACATTAAAGCCTAAAATCAAAGTCTTATTAGATAACTTTAATTGGGCTTAACCAAATTTGATAGCCTTTAATTTAACACACAATTATTCACACATATAAGCCCATTGATGGATTAAAAATCCTTACAATCTCCCACTTGGGCTATATGTATCACCTTATAATTGTGCATTAAACATAACCTTATGAGTACTCAGAATTTTGCTATCATTACTAAATGCATCCCCAATCATATCAACATAGGATCAAAGCGGCTTTCGCCACTTTCATGTAGCTAAACCCATCAATGGTCACGTATATCTATACAACCGAATGACATAGATCAAGCATGGATGTATAGTATGAAAATTACATGTGATGTAATCTGTAACATTCCTATTTCCAACCGGTCCACTTTAATACCTTAGTGAGATTATTTTAAACAAGTTCAGAGATAATAAAACAAATAATTGAAAATAACTTTAACCTTAAACCATATCCAAAATAACAGTACATGTATCCAATATGAAAAGCAAAAATACAAACTCTCACTGAAACTATATATCTTCAAAAGTGTGCTCATAAAAGACCTTGGGTATTAATCTCTTAGTAAGCGGATCCGCAACCATGGAGTTTATTCCAATATGCTCTATTAACACTTGTCCACTCTGAACTCTTTTTTTTAACGGCCAGGAACTTGATCTCTATATGTTTTGACTTCGTCAAGCACCTGTTGTTATTGGAATACAGCACTGCTGATTTATTATCACAAAATATCTTAAGTTGTCTTTCTATATTGTCCACAATGCGCAGCTCAATGACAAAATTACGTAGCCATATTTCATGATCTGATGTTTCATAACACGCTATAAACTTTGTTGCCATGGTGGAAGTAGTTATGAGTGTCTGCTTAGCACTCTTTCAAGAAATAGCATCTCCAGCAAGCAGGTAAATATAGTTTGAAGTAGATCTCCTACTGTCTTGGCATCTCGTGAAATCGAAATCAGAATAATCGTTGATCTCCTGTATGTGAGCATGTAGTCTTTTGTTCTCTGTAAATACCGCATGACCAGTTTGGCTGCTTTCCAATGATCCATTCCCGAGTTACTTAAATATCTCCCTAGCATCCCAACAATGTACGCTATATCCGGACGCGTACAAACCTGAGCATACATTAGACTCCCTATAGTTGAGGAATAAGAAGTATTCTGCATTTCTTTAATTTCCAAGTCATTTAACAAAGCTTGTAACCCTTTCTCCCCCCGCAAACTCAACATCCTCAATGAATCGAGCATTTTCTGTCTCGAAAATTGTCTTAGTTGTGGGATCATAAAACTTGTAAACTCTAGACCTTTCAAAATATCCAATAAAGTAGCAATTGATGGTCCTTGCGTTCAATTTCTTTTCATTTGGCTTATAGAGCCTTGCCTCCGCTGAACACCCCCAAATATGTATAAACTTCAAACTAGGCTTCTTGCTCGTCCAAAGCTCATATGAGATTTTATCAGTGGCCTTAGTTGGAACTCTGTTGAGTATATAAGCTGCGGTCTTTAATGCTTCACCCCAAAGAGATTCTAGTAAGGTAGAATGACTAATCATACTCCTCACCATGTCCTTAAGCGTTCTGTTTGTCTCTCAGCAACATCATTCATAGTGGGCGAACCCGGCATAGTATACTGTGGGACGATATCGCATTCCTCTAGGAATTAAGCAAATGGTCCTGGATGTTGTTCACCTAAACCGTCATATCTGTCATAGTATTCACCTCCACAGTCAGATCTGACACTTTTAATCCTTTTGCCGAATAGGTTCTCAACTTCAGTTTTATAGTTTTTGAACACATACAGTGACTGTGATTTTTCATTAATGAGATATATGTAACCATATCTTGAAAAGTCGTCTATAAACGTTATAAAATATTGTTGACCATTCCAAAAACTCGTAGGGAATGGTCCACAAATATCCCTATGTATAAGTTCTAAGACGTTTGAAGTCCTATTGACTTGAAATTTCTTTTTATTGGTTTGTTTTTCCTTTATACAATTGACACATAGATCATAATATATGAAGTCAAGAGGGTCGAGAATCCCGTCAGACACAAATCTCTCAATTCTCCTTTTGGAGATGTGACCTAATCTCTTGTGCCACAACGAGGCAGAA